ACTGTTCTGTTAATTCCATTCTCGGTATTACCTGCCGCTTGTATTATACGTTATACATATACGTGCCGCACGATTAATATTCTTGCGAACAATGTAATTTTAGTTGGGTACCACACCAGTAACGACGAGTCATAGTTACCAGCCACCACCGATATATCAACAGCAACCAAGGATGAGGTTTAACACGCAACCGGGCGTCAGGCAGACGACTGCTCAATTCACGCAACAGCAACAATTACAGTTGCAACAGCAGCGGACGAAAATGATACAACAGCAGCAACAGCAACAGCAACAATTGAAGCAGAGGTTGCTGCAACAACAGCAGCAGCAACAGTTACTCATTCCTTCCAACGCTACAGCTACGGACCAAATTACCACCGGAATCCACAATATCGATAACCTTTTGAACAATACTGTTGCGCCAAATGTATCGTTACAGGTATATAAATACAAATACGTATAAATAAAAATAAAGATACGTTGAATCGTGTTTTACACGCAATATTGATAAATTCGTATTTTGGCCGTCAGCGATCGAGTGTCCCAGATTCACAAGTATCCCCAGGTTATGGGGGATCCGTCCAGATGCCTTCCGGTCATCGACTTGCTCATTCGTATTCTCATCCTTCAACGTTACCACAACAGTAAGTAGTATAATAATTAGTGAAAGTTAATAATCAGTCGACGAACGTCTAACGATCTTCTTCTTCTTCTTCTTCTTTTTTTTTCTGTTTTGTTTTCTAGCCCCATTGTAAACAGTAATTTTAACAGTGGTCAACAAGTGTCTGCGGCAGCGCGACTCTCGCCGCATTCCCCGGCTGGTATTTTGTCATTCTCGCATCCGCAGCCGTTGTCACCACGAGTGACGCAAGTACGTTTCAACAGTCGTTTAATTAGACACAAGCTGCCCTAAATGCCTGCCGCGTAGCTTCAGTTTGTATTTTTAAGTTTTATTTTTATTTAATCGGGAGGCGTGTGCGCGCGTGTGGTGGCTCCTCAGAATAATTGTTTCCTCTCACTGTTCATTTTCTTTTATTCTTGCTTTGCAACTTAACGTCTACGATCGTTTAATTTTCCTTTTACGTTTTGTCATCAAGGGCAACTATGGTAATACCCCGAGATTATTCACCGTTAACCAGGTGAGATCGCAGCAACAGCCAACCGCGCAGCAGCAGTTGCAGCAACAGCAGAGATCGATGCCGTCACCAGGGACGCCAGCATCCGCACGGCAATCACCGTTTCCGGCGGAAACCTTCCCTCCACCCACGTCCCCTACAGCCAGCCAATTCCCACCTGGCCCTAATCCTGGCGCTCCAAATCCTTCGGCCCAATATCGG